GGTTTAGGGTTTAGGGTTTAGGGTTTAGTATCAATCATCGTTAAGACCGAGAGGAAACTCGGGGTCATCGAATATCCATTCTGCTGCTTCTTCTCCCCCCATAATATCTTCATCATCATCATGTGTCTGCTGCTGCTGCAGCTGCTGCAGCTGCCGCTGCAGCTCCTGCTGCACCTGCCGCTGCTGCTGCTGCTGCTGCTGCTGCGGGTGCAGCCGGTGCAGCGCAGAAGCCAACCACCACTGAGCAATCACTGCCCCCGTCAGCAGCCCCCTTGGAGACACCCAGGCACTCAGCCCGGCCTGAACGATCGCAGCAGCAGCAGCAGCAGCAGCAGCAGCAGCAGCAGCAGCAGCAGCAGTTGCCGTTGTTGTTTCAAGCTTTTAGGATGTATTTCGTTTGGTTGCTGCAGCAGCAGCTAAAAGCAGCAGGAACCCACAAAGAAGCAGAAGGACACCAAGAAGAAACAACAGCAGCAGCAGCAGCAGCAATAGCAACAGCAGCAGCAGCAGCAACAGCAGCAGCAACGCACCAGCTTAGACAAGCACAAACCAAGGGCCCCCCCCAACAAACCATGGGCCCCCAGGATAGCTGCGGTGAGGCAAAGAGAGCGTAGAGACAAACGACTGGGGGCCCCTTCCTTCTCCTCCACCTGCAGCAAGAGACAACAGCAGCAGCAGCAGACAGCAGCAGCAGCAGACAGCAGCAGCAGCAGCAGACAGCAGCAGCAGCAGCAGAGAGAAGCAGCAGACAGCAGCAGAGACGCAAGAGAAAACGGTTGCTGCTGTCTCCTCCCGCAGCCATTGCATGCAGCAACAAACCCAAGCTAAGTGGGCCCCAAGGAGATGTAATATATAAAAAAAATAAACAAAATAAAATAAATAAAATATAAATAAAAAGATAAACAAAATATACAAATGATATATAAAACAAAGACAGCAGCACAGTCTGCTCTGTAGTTTCTCCTTCTATACACCTTAACACAAACCCGCCAATACAAAACAAATGCAGCAGCAGCAGCAACTAGTGCAACAGCAGCAGCAGCAGCAGCCAGAGCAGCAGCAGCTACATCTTCAGACCGAGATCCACCTAGCTGCAGATACACTCGAGCTGTGCATACACCCGAGCTGTGTATACACCCCAATCTACACCAAAGAAGACTAAAAAAAAAAAAAAAAAAAAAAAAAAAAA